AGGACGGAGCTGCAAACTATGCGTCCCTGGAGAACTGAACTCGACGAAAGAAACGATGCAGCTGCAGTAGGAATTGATTGATCAAAAGCATTTGACAGCGTCTGTCACAACCTTCTCACCGCAAAGATAAAAGCTTATGGCTTCAAAGACTCTGCGCTTAAGTTGTTACAATCATACCTAGATGAGCGAAAACAGATAGTAAAATGCAATGACAAAACATCTGACTGGTCCTTTCTCAAATGTGGAGTACCTCAGGGAAGCCTTCTAAGCCCCCTGCTGTTCAATATATACATTAATGATATGAAGGACTTCATTTCATCTTCGCTCCTAAGGCTCTGCGCAGATGATATAACGCACTATGCTTCCAACACAAGCCCAACAGTCTTACAATACATCATGAACCAAGACATGGCCAAACCCTCCAACTGGCTAATAGAAAATTTCCTGAAATCTAACGATGAGAAAATGCAAGGAACGATAATGGGTAAATCAAAGTACGATTATGAATTTAAAAAAATTATTAAAAAAAAATTAACTTCTATTTGAAAACAGTGCTATTCAAACCAAAGACCACCTCAAGATCGTGGGAATAAAGTTGGATAATAAACTATCTTTCCAGGAACACATAAAGGATATCCATAATAAAGTCTATGTAAAAATAGGGGCACTAAGACGCATAAAACGCTTAGTACCAAAGAACACAATGACAGCTCTCTACAGAAGCTTTATTCTGCCTCATTTCGAATATTGCAATCCTCTTTTCATTGGTCTTATAAAAACGTTAAGTAATAAACTAGAAAGGCAAACCATTATGGTCTAAGAACAGTTTTAAACTTAAATAACTCAGTGTCTTATGAATCTGCCCTTACATTAATCGACATGAGATCATTATTAAATAGACGCATAGAACAATCACTCATCATATTTTTTAAATGTTTCAAGAAAAATGGCCCAACTTACATTTATAATTTTTTAAGTCCCGTAATCTAAGTTATGATTTACGTAACAGAGGCCATAATGTTGAACAGAAATCTTACAGTACTGAATTCATGCACAACTCCTTTTCACAAATTATTTCTCGAATTTGGAATCAGTTACCGTCGTCAGCAAAGTCTGCTAAAAATGTGTAAATCATAGATCAATTAGCAAGCTCGATTTTCCCCGTTGCCAATGCAACAATTGTTCAATTTGATATTTATCATTTCGAACGATTATTCTCAGCATTTGTCCCCACTATTTAAATTACATCAACTCATTACATTATATATCATATTTATTATCGAACAAC